CCCTAAAGCCTAAAACTCTAAACCCGAGAACCCTGAACCTTAACACCCCTAAGAAGGTTCCAACAACAAGAGGAGTAGCCGGCTTCGCGTCTGGGTCCGGCTCCCCAGCCTCTGCATGGGGTGTGGGGCTTTGATTGCTGTCTAGCCTGCCATTTGAACAAACCCCGCCCCAGTCTAGTAGCAGCAGCAGCAGCAGCGGCAGCAGCAGGAGGAAGAGGAGGAGTAGTAGGATGACTACTAATATGATTTCTACTATTTCTGATTATTGAGCTGGTACATCAACCATCTAAAGCCTGATCCCTGGACTCAAAATTCTTAACTCAGCGGCCTGGCTAAACACTGGACATCTAGATGTGAGCAACTCGAACGTCGGATTGCTTGTTCACCGTTCTAAGCTGGGACTCGCTCAACCACCACACCATGATTAGAGGGGTTATAGTAGGGTTATATTGGCATGATGGAGAAGAAAATGGAAACTACCATTTAGGGTTGAGGGTTTAGGGTCCTCTGATTAATGAACCCCCTCAGACTGTCCTTGCCTGAAACAAGATAAAGCACGAGGCAAGAAGGCAGCACGAAAAGGGAGAGGCCAGAATGTTGATTGCGTTCTGCCGCAAATTTGTTAGAAGGTCAGATTCTCCCAAAATACCTTTTTTCCAAATACATCCTCGTTGACTTGGTAAAGCTTACAGATCACCCCGCAGCAGCTTGGAACACAAGGGTCGATTGTCATTGTGCCTTGAAAACCCTTGAAACTTCCAAAGCACTCCCCGAGACTTACCTGGGTTGCTGCTAAGGAACTTTAATTAAGTTTCTATAATAAGGAAACCCTATTGTTTACTACATACCCATGTTTTGGTAACTTAGCTTAATGTAGTTTAAGTCCCTTAACAGCAACCCAGCTATCCACGGCAGCATGCAAGTCACACCCTAAGCCCATAAGTAAGCCCGAGACCCTGGGCAGCAAGCAAACATCGCAATGACCTCAATCCAGCCCCCTTGACTGTAATCCCATTCAGCCTACAATAAGAACATCATATTCAAGAGTTCTTTGGTGTTATGCTACCAATAAAACTTTAAAGAAAGGATAGCAAAAAGAACTGGCGAGGCGATAGGCGTTAAACCGATGAAGATCAATGTCTCACAGTATAGATGCAAGGCGACCCGCCTGTATTCACCAACGCCTGCGTAAAAAAACCTCTTAGCAAAATCCTCTACTCCTTCCAAAGCACCCCACCCCTGGCAAAAAAAAACAAATACGCCCAATGAATGGCTGCTTAGATCCTCTTTGGCGTGGGGGGGTCTCGAGGTAAAGGTTGCAAAGGATCCTGTGACCGTTTGGGTAGCTTCTCAAATCAGGCCCTGACACCTATCATCTGGAGTTCGGCAGTGCGTGCCCTACAGAATACCCATAAAGGGCAACAAGGTTCAGATCTTGCACCCCCAGCCGTTTAGGGTTTAGGGCTTAAGGGTTTAGAGAAAAGGGTGCAGGTAGTGTTTGCAAAAATTACCGGCCTCTTTTTGTCTTGGGGGAGGGCGGGGGTGGGTGTCCCCAACATGAGGAGGCTTGTAGCGCATTGGGGCGTATATTGTACCAAGCTTTCATTGAAGCTTTAAAGCTTGAAGTAACCCCTAAACTCTAAACCCTAAACCCCAGACCCTAGACCCATTGAGGGTTTTAAGCTTAAACTTTAAACACTTAGTGGCTCTACCCTCAAGCAATCGGCTCCTTTGCATAAAGTGGTAGGGAACCCAAGGAACGAAAGAAGCAAACCTCTTTGCCCTTTTGAACCAAAAAGCCTAAACAATCCGAACCCCAAACCCTCAGAACCAAAGATTCAAACCCTAGACCCCTAAACCCCTAAACCCTAAACCCCTAAACCCCTCAGCCACAAACGTAAGCCCTGCCCAAAGACCAGGCGTCCCAGCAATCTGGCGGTCGATCTTGGTGCGAAAGGCTGCAAGAATGTCAGCCGCAGATCGCTTGCCTCCAGTGCTGCTGAGACCCTAAACCCTAAACCCTAAACCCAGTCCCTTATATCATCCTCTGGTAGTCCCCTATATAATCCCCTACATAACCTCGCTTTAGGGAGTCTAGACTTTTGCCCTCACTCTAGACGTGGGGTCAAGAAGGTCAATTCCACCCATCTTTCCGTGAGTTTGCAGGTGCAACACAGGGCAAAGAAGGATCAAGGAAGGACTGTCATGGCCCAGCGTTTAGGGATCTGTAGGGCTTTCCGCCTAGGTCGTGCAGGCTAAGGGTTGCCTAGACCTTTCCCGGTGAAGTATTCTTGGCCTGGACGTATACTCACCCTTGCTACGGCTTTTCCAGGCTCAAACCCTCGGCTGTGCAAGTTCGCAACTTCTAAGATAACTACTCCCATCTAAACAGCACTCCTTCATGAACAACTATGGACCCCGCAGAAACCTACACTCCGTGCCTAAGCCCAAAAGCCTGATCCTGGAGCCAAAAGCCCTCAACCAACAGCCGCACTTTAGATAGGGCTAAGGAGCCAAGAAATGACACAAACATTAGTATGTGGGTGGGGGTGGGAGCGTGTACTCTACAACCCCAATGGAAAATTATGATGCTTATATGCCTTTTTGGGTACCTATCGGC